CAGACTTCAGATCCATGTGGCCTGGAGTCAAATCTAGCTCGGCCATCTACAGCTGTGAGCCTTAGGCACTTGACTTCATCTCCCTGAATCTTCTTTCCTGGTCTTTAAAAATCATACAATCTGCTCTTTATAAAATTACACTGAAAATTAAAAATTATGACACTCAGTGTCTGGCACCTAGGGAGAGCTTAATATACGTTTATTTTCCAATCATTAATGGGTTAATGACAGGAAGAACGCTGGGCATTTCCCCACATTGCCACCAGATGTCGCCACAGACTTGGCTAAAATAGCAGCACTCCTTTTGGAAGTCTGAAGCCGAAAGACTTTAGAGGTGGAGAAACTGAGGACAAAACCTGCAGGGACCTCTCAAGGTCATGAGAGCAGATCCAGGATTTGAACCCACTGGTCCTGCCCCTTAAGGATGGCAAATTCCACACCAGTGCTCCCATAGCTCAGCCTGCCCCTGGAATAGCCTGCGCTATCCATTTGAACTAATAGGTACCCATGAGTGCTAACTATGCAACAGGGCCCATTCTAAGCATTTTACAATATGAGCTCATTGAATTGGCAGAAATAACTATAAGAGGTAGATTCTAATGTTTTCTTCATTTTATGGAGGGGAAAAGTGAGGCACTGGGAGGGTAAGTAAGTTGCTCTAGAAAACGCAGAGTGGGATTAAAACCCTGGCATTCTGGCTGCAGTTTGTGCTATCCTAGAGCTTACTTCTTTGGTCACCTTGATAATAATGTTTGTTATTAGATTTTAAATCTGTTGATATCACAGCTTCTTCGATGATTTAAAAAATCACTGCTGTCCCATTACAGGCTACGTTGCCCGAATCTAAGTCCAAAAAGTCATTGGCAAATGATGTGATGACATAGGAAACTAGGTATTGTAGTTTCACAAAACATCACTCTATAAATAACATAACCTTTTGCTGATTCTTCATCGTTTAGCCCCAAGTTTGCTATCCAGTTCCAACAGAATTCCATGGACTTGGTTGCCGGCTGAATTGGAGGCTTGGAGGACAAAGGAAAGGAAGAAACTTGGCCAGGTCTTTTATTCATTCACTCATTCATTCATTCCACAGTGACTGCGTCCTACTCTCTGCCCTGTACTAGGCTCTGAAGCCAAGAAATGACCCCTATATTAGCCCTGCCCTCAAGGAGCTCACAGTCTAATGAGAGTTAACAGACAGAAGTATGTACACACTGGCCATGACCATCTTCCCAGATGGTCTGTAGATGGCATTTGTCTATTCCCTCCATTCCTAGCATAGTGCCTGGCACATGTTAGGTACTGGATAAATGTTCGCTGAAATGAATACAAAGGCTTCATGGAGTGGGCAGTAATTTGATCTGGGGCTTTGAGGACTAGAAAACTTCTGACAGGTGAAGACAGAGGAGAGGACACACCCTCTCAAGAGGAAGAATGACAAGGTCATTGTAGAAAGATCATCCTGACTTCTGTGTGAAGGATGATGGCTTTGGGTGAGATGTGGGGGCAGTTAGAGGCTGGTTCAGGGTCCAGGGGTGAGTGTATGGTGGCCTGGACCAAGGCTTTGGAGGGGGGGACAGAAAAGGCCCGAAGGAGTATTCAGAAAGGATGGACAAGCCTTGGAGGCTGTGGAGCAGGAAAAAGCAGGAGTCATGGGTGACTTTGGGTATCTGGTGGAGCAGAGCAAGTTGGAGAGACCTTGGAAGGAGTTGAGGCCTGTTGAGCAAGATTTGGGGGCATAAAGATCTTCCAGGTCCCTCAAGTCAGAGCCCATCTTTGGCCTCATTTCTACCTCCTGGAACTGAGGTTGGAGGGTAGAGCAGTCATGTGGATACAGAGGAAGCAAGCCAGCTGGGCAGGAGCCAGCCACATGTGAGTGAGAACCCCTGCCTCACATTCTCCAGTCTTCTGGGGCCCCAAGGGGAAGAGGGCTGGCCACAGTGGCCTTGTCAATGCCCAGACCTAGCATGAAAGTTACTGGAAGGTAGAGTCTCTGCGAAATGTACCTTCTGATTCTTCCTTAGCAGCACAAATCACACACCATGGGTTGGGAGGACATCTCCCTCACTTTTATTATATTTAATTTTTCTTGGGCTGTTAAGTACATAAAATATATAAAATCCCCTAATCTTAAGGTATAGCTTGATGAATATGTGCCCATATAATCACCAAGCAGATTCAGATGTAGATCTTTTCCAGCATTCCAGAAAAGTCCCTCTTGTTCCTTTCCCATCTCTACTCCCCTCCCTGCAACCCAGGTAACTACTATTCTGATTTTATCACCATAGATCAGTGTTGCCCACCCTTGAACTTTATGTATGAATGCAATCATACAATATGTACTGTTTTCGTGTCTGGATTCTTTTAGTCTGCTTAATGTCACTGTGTGTGAAAGTAACCCATGTATCACATATGTCAGTATATTGTACTTTTAAGTATTCCATTGGATGAATGTGCCATAATTTGTCACTTCTCCTGCTGATGGACATGGAGCTATTTCCAGTGTAAGCTATAAATAAATCTTCTATGAAAATTCTTGTGTGAGTCTTTTTGTAGACATAGGCACTCATTTCTCTCGCAATGAATACCTAGGCGTGGAAATTCTAGGTCACAGCAGAGGTATATGTTCAGATTTAGTAGAAACTGTTGGTTTTCAGAAGCGGATGTACCAATTTCCTCTCTCTAACCAGCTGTATCTAAGAATCTCAGTGGCTGCACATCCTTGTCTCTACTCTGAGATTCCTCTTTTCTTCCAGTGTTGGATATTGGAACACTGGAGATTGGAATGGGTGCATTGATCTCTCAGCTCATAAGCAGCAAGACGAGAACCCACACCCAGTTTGTTCTCAGCTGGGGAAGGAGTGGACATCTTGATGTGGATGTGACTCTAGGAACCGGGGTAATCATCTTATGACCATGAGCATGAAATCATCATGGGGATAGCAGAGCAAAGATGGAATTAACCTGGGAGATGGAATGTCCTTAAAGACACTGCCAAGCCACTCAATTAATTTGCCATTGGATGCCAGCCTACTTATTTTTTAAGCCAATTGATTTGGGGATTTTTTGGTGGTTTTGTTTGTTTGTTTGTTTAGAGGGGAGGACTTATAAAGGATACAGTCCATTAGCCCTCCTTTTAACCAAATCCAATGGTGCCATTTCTGTCTCTACAGCAGTCAGCCCCAGTGAGCACTTTCTCCTTGAAACCTTCTCTTTGGGATTCCATATTCACCTGGTCTTCCTTCTACCTGTCTGGTCACTGCTTCTCAGCCTCCTTTCTTGGCTCCTCCTCCTCCTCCTTTTTTTTTTTTTTTAATCTATCTTCTCTCCCTTGGATCTCATCCAGCATCATGATCTCATCCATCACCTGTGTGCCAGCATTACCCAAATATGCATCTCCAGCCCAGACCTCTCTTCTGAGCTCATCTCATATAAAAATGCCTATTGATTCTCTCCACCTAGACGTTGCCCAGGCATTTCAAATTTGCCTTCTCAAAGTCAAACTCTGTATCCTCTCCCTCAATTTGATCTTTCTTCAGGTTTCCCTACCTTAGTGAAGGGCTCTTGACTCCTTCCTACTCAAGGCAAAAGTCTAGATATTCTTGCCATTGCCTTAGCACACATCCACATCCAATCTTTCATCCTTTACTTCTCTACCTCCCCAAACCACCACCCTGAGTCATTGTTACTTTGCAGCTACAAAGCTGCAACAGCCTTCTAACTAGTCCCCCCCACCCCCACCCCTCCATACACACACCTGTTCCCAAGTGCCTTCCAAGCCACGCAGGCAGGGTAGCCTTTCAGAAATCCAAATGTTTTATCATTTCCCTAATGGAAATGGCTCCTCGTTACTCTCAGGATAAAATCCAAATTCATTTGGTACCATTACCTGCACTACTCCTTGCTTATCCCTCACCCCCCTGCCTGCTCCTTCCCATCCCATCTGGGACAAGCGGTTCTTTCTGCCTAGTACATTTCCCCTCTCACTCTTGCCCTGCACAACTCCTAATTGTCCTTGGTTTCTCACTCTAAATGTCAGCTTCGCAAGTACAATCCACCCTTGCCCCTCACCCTATGTTAGGACCCCATTCATTTTTCATAACTCTCCTTACTTTCCCCCTTGGCACATCCCATGCTGCATAACTGTAATATATATTATATATATAACTATACATATATACATATATATATATATTATTGACACAGAGTGGTTATTTGATGACTCTCTTTCCTCCTCCACACCCCCGCCCTACACTTCCCCCCCACTAGAATGACAGGGCCTTAAGATTGGAGTAGTATCTATGCCACCCTCCACTCCACTCTCTTGCTTTTAGCAATGCATTTAATACAATAAGCGCCCAAGGAATGCGTTTAATTAGCTGATAAGTGACTCATTCAATCCCCATAACAACCCTATGAAGTAGGCATTTCATCAGACCTAGGGAAGCTGAGGGTCAGTGTAGGCAAGTTGCCCGAGATACAGTGAAAAGGGAGGAGTCAGGTCCTGACCCACGTTTGGTCCTAAATTCTGAACCTGATTTTTCCGCTCCTGAACTTTGGCCGCTTGGTGAAAGGGCCAGGGTGACGGCGGACTTTGAGCCACGGGAAGGTTTTCCCGGATGACACGAATGATCCACACCGGGCACTGGAATCGAGAGTTCACCCACGGAGGCTAAGGTACATCCCCTTCGCTTTCAAAGAGTAAGGATCACAATCTGCTGCATATGCATGAGGGGTCCATGAGACCATAATTCGGGTCTGCCCAAGATACGCCTGATTAAAAATTCTTCGGGCTCGAAGACTTAAGAGCCCTCAGAATTCCCTAAAGATAATAGAAAGTTTTCAAAGACTCATATGAAACAGACATTTGAGGAGGTATCAGACTAAGACGTCCCCAATTTGGATCGTGTGATCAGGCGTATACTAGGGGCAGCCCAATCCCAGGAGGGGTCCTCGGCCTGCTCCACTAGAAGACGAAGGGGGCGTCTCCCCGGCTTCCTGCGGCGTCGGTGGCGAGCCGAGGTGGAGGCAGGCTGCGGCAGCGAAGGCGACAGTGGCGGCGGCGCCATGGCAGGGCTTGCAGGTACGGTGGCGTCGGCCTCCTGGGGACGGGATAAGAGGCCCTCAGTGCGGCAGTGCCGCCATGTTGTCCCTTCGGGGTCACCTTAGGCGTCGCCCGGTCCCTTTCTGGGGTTTTTCTTCCGCGCACCCTGGGGGCCACCCCTGTCCGGTGTCACGTGATTGTCCTGTGTGGCCGCAGCCTGGGCCTTGGGGGGCCCTTCCCGGCCGGAGGGCGGGTCACCGGACTCCTGGGTCTCGTTCTGGCCTCCAAGGTCAGCGCTTGCCTGTCTGTTCCCAGGAAGGGACAGACAGAGCCGGGGAGCGCGGGGCTGAGGGGCGCGACTACCACCTCTTCGGCCCGGGGCCCATGGCAGGGGTCCCGGGTTCTGAGAGTCCTAGAGTCCTACCACTCGGTTCCTGCCACTTGAGTCGCATTTTTTAAATCAGAAGGGGCGTGGGGGATAGGGGGAGAGGGGTCTTCCCCACACGTACGGGCACCTGCTTTGGTGTCTGAGGTGATAGGTTGACGCTCTGCTTTGAGTCACGGGTGCTTCTCACTCCCTCGTAACTTTTCATCAAGTCTGGACACCCGTTCCCTTTTCTCCAGTATATATGGGGAGTGGCCCTCAAGGGCAGCCGAAGGAACGGAATGCCTGGCACACCAATGGCCTAGAAAGAAGAATGGGGGATGGGGAACAGTTGCTTTTTCCTTCCCCCTTCCAGACCTTGTGTAAATTCCTTCTAGGCCTCCGTGCTCCTTTTCAACGCTAAATGTTGGGACAGACTGGGGTCTGTCCCGGGGAGGAAATGCTCTTTCTGTTTATAGGTTCGGATCGTGTTTTATCACTTTCAGGGAACTGGTGTGTTGGGAACAGCTTCTGTTTGCCCTGCCTGACATGGTCCAACCATCCCCTCCGCCTTCTGGACGGCAACGCCAAAGCCAGGACCAAAAAAAAAAGTTCCAGCTTAACTGCTATTGCCAAGTGTTAGATCTTGCTTATGTGTTTGTTTCAAATCAGAGAGACTGATTAATGTCAAGCAAATCTGTTAAAGGATTCAGAGCCCTGGTCAGTTTTCAGTGACCAGATCAATTCCATATCTGAGATTGGTCTTGTTAGAATTGCTGCCAAAAACAGTTTAACCTTTTATCTGTAATACTGTTGTTTCAAAGAGGACTCTCGAAGTCTGGGTTTGGCTGTCTTTTTTTTGTTGTTGTTTTCTTATCTTTGAAACCTATATGCATTCCATCTCAAGCCTGTCACTGTGTGCTATGTACCGAGGATCATGTGCTGCCTGCCTCTTTGACTTCCTGTTCTGGGAACGCTCAGTAATCTGGATCCTGCTGGGGTATGGGCCCTGTGGGAGGGGGGCTGGATCATTCTCAGGGAAGATGGCGACATGTCTCTGGGGCATATACAGGAAGGCACGGGTCACCAGGGGAAAAGAGAGTGTTATTAGAGTAACGTTGTGTGTGTCGGTTGCACGTTCGTGCACATGTAAATCTCTGGGGGTAAGACTAACCGCAAATTCAGAATCCCACTTTGGGATGCTGGCTCCTGAACAGATACAGTTTGAAAATAGATATCGAGCAAATGGCTCATGGCAGACCTGCTCCCTCACCCCACCCAGGGGTAATAAGCTTCTGCTGTCCTGCAACTGAAGCTGGGGAAGCCCCCCGCCCCTCAGCCCAAATCCAGATACTCCACAGATCGAGATACCACGTCACATAGCACCCCACACGTCTGAAAGTTATGTACCTAAACCCCCCGGAGCTTAACCTAAGTGCTAGACTAAGACATCAACATCTTCTTGGGGTATTCGTGCCAAGAATCTTGCCCGTTGGTGTCCTGCAAAGCCATCCCAGTCCCCTCTCAACTCATCTGCTGTATCCTTGGTCTTAACAGGGGCAGAGCCTTGTGGTGGTAGAGAGTTTAGGAAGAAGGGAGGCCTGCGGACTAAGTGCCTTACAATACAACTAGTGATTTCCAACTTCTACCATTGCTCTCTATCAGAATAAAATGTTTTAATGGTATTGCTTCTGGAAAAATTTTTATAAACAAGGTGTGTTTGGACCAGACTTCTAGGCACCGCACAGGAATAGGAAGTGAACGCATTCCCTCTGTATTCTCCAGTGGGTTGTGTTTGCTGCCAGAACATGAGGGTTTGGGGATGAGGGGTGAACGTGGAAGAGTAGACACTGCACACTCAAGCCCACCCATGTGGATGCAGGCCCCCAGAACAGTCCTTGCCTGGAGGTCTGTCATCTCACCGTGCCACACTGATGAATGGATGGAAAAGCCCCACAGATCGGCTTTGCCAAGGTTATCTAGAAAGCCCCAGGGCTGCCAGCAGCCTCCTGCCTTTTAAAGGGGGCCTGGGAGGCTAAGGGGAGAATGCTGTGTCCAGAGCAGCAGACCCTTGCCTGCCTGTCTACATGAACCTGGCTGCCTTCTAACCGGGCTGAGGTTGGAGTATCTGGGACTATGGGGCTGTGGGCACACCCCTTGAAGACTCTAGGGGGAGGCAGCCTTGAGAACACATGTTGAAATGTTCATGGTTCTGTGGATTTAGTGTCGAAAGCCACAGAAACTCCCAGGCGAGGCCTGCCAAGGTACAGCTTCAGAAGGGAGTTGTGGGCATTGCCTGCTGATGAGTCACCCTGGGGCAAGAGGAGACCTGCCTCACCTTCAGGCTATAGTATGAGCTGGGAGCCACCCAGCCTAAGGAAGATGGAGTCTCATTACACATCCCTATCCCAGTCCTGATGAGTCCTGATTGCCACTTTGGTGACAGAATATTTCTAGTATCCTGGAGTTCACTGGGATCTTAGCAGCTCTTTTACAGAGGGGAACTGAAGTTGAGGGGTAGGAGGTAACCTGGCCAAGTTCCCTGGGCTGACTGGTGACAGAGCCCAGTACCAGAACTGAGGTCTGCCCCCTCTACCCACATAATTCTCTGATGCTGTACTCAAGTTATAGGTGCCTCAGAGGTGCTTGCAGTGGGTTTAGAAACAAGGGGTTGCTCAGAAGAGGGGAAACATTATCTGGCTCAGGGTAGGCTAGGTGCTTTGTGCTCCAGAAGTGTTTGTGACAACTGTGACTAAGGGATTTGGGAAGTGGCAGAGAGAGAGATTTATAGCCCTCCAGATCCTCTCTTGGTGTTGACCCAGGAACAGGTGTGTAATGACAGGGACACATTAAGCCAGAGACAAGGCTGAACAGGCGGCAGGGCTATTTGGTGAGGCAGTCAGCTGACCATGTGAAAGGAGTCCTGAGTCACTCAGGAGTGAAAGAGGGGAGAAAGAAGTCAGGAGCCAGCCAGCCCACCCACCCTGACATGGCAGGGGAGAGCCCAGGGCCAGGGACCTGGTAAGCACCCCTAAAAATATGGAGGCTAATGCCAGCAGAAGTGAAGAAGCCACCCATGGAGAGCGCTGGAGAGAGGCTTCTGGGGAAGAGGGAGGAGACCCTGGGTAGTAGCGAGGAAGGGCAGAATGCCCTTGCCGTGGCCCTGGTAGAGGTTGTAGGGCCCAGAGGGATACGCTGGTCAGGGGTGGCACCACGCCATACCGCTTATCCCAGTGCTCATTAAGCCAGTGCCCACCCTGCCCAGTGCTCATTTCCTTGGGGCTCCTGGATGATCTTAGCACCCCATCTTGAGGGCTACTCCCACCTTTTGCCTCATCCCATCTTTCCCACGGATTACCTACCAAGGCCCCTCATTCCATGACAGTGCAGGCACCCACCCCTCTGGGGAGATGGTCCCTTATCCCGAGACCACAAGTAAACATGTAGACTCTTCTCTTTGGAGTGGGGGAGGTGGTCCTTTTTCTCAAAGCAGTGTTAAGTTAAATTGGAACTGAGTGTGTGAGGGTCCCAGCTTATTCTCATTTTGTTGCCTCCCACTCCCTCCCTCTCCCAGGCAGTGTGCCCCTTCCACAGCGGGTGCGTCAGCCCAGTCTTAGGAGTATGTTTCGAAGCTGCAAAGGAGTCACAAGAGACAACTTTTTGGTGCACCTCCACCACCCCGCAGGGTCCTAGGACACTGTGCGAGATGGGGGAGGTACTGGTTTTTTATTTTTTGTAGAGGTGGTCCCTGTCCTCCAGGAGCTTACAATCTAGCTGGGGAGACACAACTAATGCACACTTAATACAATCAGTACAATTAGCGATTACCACAATATTGACCACAACTGCGTGAGACCAGGGAAAGCAAGATCAGTGAGGGGCTAGGGGCTTGGAGAAGGTCTTTTAGTAAAGATGGGATTCATTTACTGGTTGAGTAAGTCCAAATTGAGTGACACATTTCTTTGGGGTGGGCTTAGAAGGCAGTGGGGGAGAGGGGGAAGGGGAATCGAGGGAGCAAAGACAGCAAGGCTGGAATCCACGTGTTGTAGGCAAGGGACAGTGAAAGGGCCCCACTCTTCCTTAACCCTCCTCCCTCACTCTTGCCCTCCAGTCCCGCCACACAGGCACGCAGTTGGTGCCTTGTCTGTTGCATCGAGATTCAGGGCTTCCGCTGGTGATGTTGGAATGTCCATTCTGCTGGCTGGTGTGGTTGTCTGGATCTCTTGTGGTGGGGCCTGCTGGCATGGCCATGGCCACGGGGCTGGGTTGGCGCTGTCCCGACTTGGTCCAGATCAGAATGCATTGCCTGTGCCCAGATCTCGGGGGTCTGCTCCCCCCACCCCCCCTCCTCCCTCTACCCCGCCCAGCAGTCGGAGGGGCGCAAAGGGGTTTGGAAGGGATCTGGTATTGTCGTCATTGTCGGTGCTGCTTCTCCGGGGGCCTACCGGCCCCTCACTGACCTTGGCAAATGCTCCTCTGGCGAGAGAGCACAGGGGACCCCCCATTCCTGCGCGGCGCTGGCTCCCATGCTGGCCGAGAAGCACAGGAGCACCCGGTGACACGGCCGCCCAGGGCTGGGGGCTGGGGCCTCAGTTGGGGGCTCGCTGCCGGCGCTCTCCCAACACCTGCCGCCCGGTCCTCGACACCGTGTACGCCAGCTTCTGCAGGGAGTACCTGAACACCTGCGGCGAGAGACCCAGGACCTGCCCTTAGAGGCAGGTACCCGCAGCGAGTCTGCAGCGCTGCCGTGCCCGCCCCCGCCCCACCCCCTGCCCCGCCTGCCTGTCGGACTTCGAGAGGCAGGCGCGGGCGCAGCTTGTCCACGAGTCAGGGCAGCTGGAGCTTTTCCAACTGTGCTGAAGGCTGCATGGCAGCAAGCTGATTGGACCCACAACTTAGGTATACCTCACTTCTCGCAATGGGCTGTGTCCCTGGAGGATTTCGAAAAGCGAATCCTACCCAGTAAATGCAGCATTCCAGGAACACCTTAAAGGAAATATGCGATTCCTTTGGCAAAGGATTCCTTTAGCAGGGAATTCTTCCTGCAAGGGGTGCTTTTGGGTAAACGACTTTATGGGCAAAGTGCTTTCTTCTGATTTATTAATTTTTGCAAAGCACTTTGTCGCTATGATTTCTTTTTTAAATAAAGTGAATTGTCCTTTGGAAGCGCTTCTTTTCTCTTTCATTTCTCCTGCAAAGAACCTCTCTGATTGTTTTCTTCAAAGCGCTTTTATCTGATTCATTTTTTCTGTTAGCTCCTTTGTCTAATTTTTTCCTGCAATGCGCTTTTTATCTAATGCATTTTTTTTCTGCCAAGTGCTTTTACCGGATTTATTTTTCCTGCAATGCGCATTTTCTCTAATTCATTTTTCCCGCGAATTACTTTTCTCTAATTCGTTGTGGGTTTTTTTATGAAGTGCTTTTTTCCTCTGAGAAGTGCCTTTTTCCAACTTATTTTTCGTCCCACCTTCGCAAGCGCTATATTTATTTTTTAAAGACAGTTTCCCCGCAATGCGCAATTTTTAAGACGGAAAATTTTGCTATGCGAGGATAAAGTCTCTTCGCAAAACAGAAGTGCCCCGCCTCCCTCCTGGGGTCGAGTCTGAGTGTAGCGGGTTTTTCTTACCGCGTTGGTCGCTAAGAGCCTCGGCGATCGTCAGCGGCTGGCGCCCGCCGCGCCCCAACTCTTTGTTCCCGGCCGGGCGCGGGCGCCCTGGGAAGGGTCTGCGCAAGGAGGAGGGCGCAGGGAACGGGCGGGGGCATGCGGTGCCAATCGCGGCACTCGGGCAGGCAGGGATCGCGGCAACAAGGGTAGGACGGGTCCAGGAGGCGGCAATTGCGACGTGGGCTTGCCGGTGAAGGGAGCGCGTGTCGGGACTCTTCTCCCACCCGGAACCCAGGCACACTTACCTGCAGCAGCACGCGGAAAATGTACCAGCCGATTATGAGCAGCTCAGCTGAGGCTGCCGCCACTGCCGCCATGGTTCCAAGAGCGGTGGATGAGTGGTTGAGAGCAAGCGCGGTTCGCCGAGGTCCGCTGGTCTCGGAGTCCGCTGTTGCGCGCACTGCCGCAGCCGCGGTGGCCGCGCCTTAAGTATCCGCCCGCCATGCGAGTGCGCATGCGCGCTTGGGGGTGTCCATGAGGAGGGGTGGCCGGGGGCGCTCCTCATTCGCCAAGAGAGGAAAAAATAATCCATCTGCTCTTTCCACATCGACCCCCGCCTCCTGAGTTCCATCTTAGCCCCTTTCCAGAAGATTCCGCTGTGCCCGCTTTTGAATTTTAGTGTAAAATGGAGGGGAACTGCAACTCTTGAGAAGCGCAAAGGGTTAGGGTAGGGGGTATACATCTTTGGTGTGGACCTCCCCCTCTCCGACCTGTGGCCTGCAAATTTAACCCGTGTCCCGTGACGCACCAGAACCCACCTTGGGCACGAATGAAAAGCCAGGAAAACCCAACTTAGCAAGGGATCATCTGCCCCACAGAGCAAATAAAAGGTGCCCTTTCCTGGAGCCTTGGCTTCACAGGCGCCTGGTTAGTACTCTTATTCTAATATTTGGTGTGCTGTAAGCCTGCACCCTCGGCTTCACGAGAGTCCCTGAGCGCGTAACCTTTCCCTGATTCCTCGAGTCCCGCTTCTTACGGTTACTACCACGGTGACTGTTGTAGGGAAGTGAGCCAGGGCATTGAGCTCTAGGCGCAAAATTGGTAGTCACCGGGTAACTACCTTGTAGGAAGGATGCGGGAGGGATTGGTGCTTTTGTGTGCATGGAAGGAATGGGATGAGCTTTCGGAGACGTGGTCGGAAAGTGCTCTGGGATAGTTTTCTGCTGGACAGGTCTTTTCAGCCTCCGTCTCCTGCTCCCCTCCCCCCAGGCCCTGCTAGGTCTTAACACAGCCAGCGAGCTTCTTTGTACCCGTTGCGCTGGGCGGCTGGAGCCTGGAAAGGGATTTTGCTACTGCCACCAGAGGGTTGTGGCTGCCACAGCTCCATTTCCAGGCACAGCGGGAACACCTGAACGCGGTCTGGGAGCTCAACCCCAATGCACTGGTGGCCCGCCGCTCGAGAGCGCCTCTCCAGCAAGCCGCCTAGCGCAGGGGCCGACTGGCATTTGCCCCCTACGTGGATAGAAAATTAATTTTGATTAAAAGCTCACAGAGGTCAGGTTCTATACAGTGCCAGCAGCAGATGGAAAAGTGTAAGTGATCCAAGCGAGGTCGGTTTGGATGAAGTAGTATGGTGATTTATTTATTTATTTTTTATTATTATTATTTTTTTTTGTATGTTGACTTTCGAAGAAGTTGGCTGCTTTGGACAAAATGATCCTGGGCTGCCATCTTAAGACAAAATATTTGGTAGTGCCCGTCACTGCGGCATCACGGAGCACGCGAAGATCCATTGCCTGCGAACTCCAGCCGGCAGTACGCTGCTCTAGTTCTCCCCTGAGCACCTGCTGTGATAGATACTAGATACAGAATCCAATTCTTATTACTTAAGGGCACAGCAGTGAGCCCATGGCCATCGGTGGCAACCACAGGGCGGTATTGTGAGGTCTGGGCCCCTTGAGGACGGGCTGCAGCCCCAGGAGGCGATACATGATCTCTGCTGGGCAGGGCCCAGGCAAAGCCAGTGCACTGTGCGGGACCTGCCCGAAGAGCCCTCCGGCCGAGCTGGACACGCCTAGGGGAGACACCCCAGGAGGCCGCCTGCACCTGTGATGTGGACAGGAGGAGACTTCCATGGGTGGGCAGGGAGGAAAGGGCGTTCACATTTGCTGTTGTTGACCATGATCCATTTTCCCAAATAAGTATACATTCTGTTCCTGTTTTTTTTTTTTTTTTTTTTGTCTGTCTGTCTGTCTGTTTTTTGTCTGTCTGTTGTGTTGACTTTTCTCTTCAGGATCCCTGCTGCCTTGGTGATCCCAGGCTGACAGCCAGAGAGCACAGCGGCTCAGCTCCTGGAGAGTGAGGGTTGAAGAAAGCGGAGGGCAGCTGCCTGCGCCCGCTGGCTCCCATTGGGTCGGTTCCTGCAGCGGTGCCCGGTGGCCTTGGTGAAGGCCCTGCCCGGCAGAGATCATGTATTGCCTCCAGTGGCTGCTGCCCGTCCTCCTCATCCCCAAGCCCCTCAACCCCGCCCTGTGGTTTAGCCACTCCATGTTCATGGGCTTCTACCTGCTCAGCTTCCTCCTGGAGCGGAAGCCTTGCACGATTTGTGCCTTGGTATTCCTGGCAGCCCTGTTCCTCATCTGCTATAGCTGCTGGGGAAACTGTTTCCTGTACCACTGCTCTGATTCCCCGCTTCCGGAATCGGCGCACGACCCCGGCGTTGTGGGCACCTAACAGCCTGCCCGGTTAGCTTTCCAAGGAAGCAGAAGATGGGAGGGGAGGCATTGACATAGGTCATAAAGCATTGGAGTTTCAAATCCCGCAGCCCTGCGGGTGCCACATTCCTGACGGCGCCTTTTTCGGCCTGTGATGTTTTATCCTTATAATGTGAATAATGGCACTGACCGGTGCTTTTATTGTAGAGTCCTATAGTCGTGGGTGGTCTTGTGATTGTGTGTGTTCTGTCCCCATCTCAGTTCCTCCCTCTGCTCCCCAAGGCTGGCAGGATGGCTCCCCAAGGCTGTACCCATCCTACTCAACCGTCCCAGCATGACCTGGGCAGATAAAATGCCAGTCTCATCACCTCTGTGGGCCCTCCTCATCAGGGTCTCTTCCCTTCCCAGAATGTTACCAACTCCTCAGTCCCTCTCCTGGTTTCCCTTTAGTTCTCTTCTGCCCTTTTCCTTTTTGGGGGAGCACCTGTCCAAGACAGGGCTTGTTTTTGCACTTATCTCGAATTTAAAGAGATTGCTGACGCCCGAGAGCCTCGCTTTTTCATCCCCCTCGCCCCGGTCAGCAGGCTGGACAGAAACGTGTCTTGGCTGTTTGTTGTCCACAGACCTCCAGTATTTTCTCCACTTCATTTTTAAGAAAGAAGTGACAGATACTTGTTGCTCTTTCACCTGGGTGTCTGGGCTCATGCTTATCAGCCCAGCCTCACTTTCTTTGCCCTTCTTCCTGCCTTTCTCAGCTGTCCCAGGGAGGGGGGCCTCATTGTGTCTCCCGTGCATGCTCTGCAGGATTGAGGTGCAGTGTGTCCACGTAGATCTAGCAGTCCCCAGCTGAGTGAGTGGAAGAGTACTTGTGTGTGTTTTCATAACAGCCATGATTCCCTTGATAGGTGTTTGAATATATTTTGGTGTGCCGTGAGTGTGTGTGTATGTGTGTGTACGTGTATAAATACATGTGTATATTCCTTTTAAAGAAGCTTTATCGAACGTGTTCTGATTTTGAGGTTTAGCAATAGCTAGCTATAGTAGGTGCCGCTACAGTTTTTATTTAGCATGGAGATTGCAGGGTCACCAGCACACTGGACTCCAACGTGGTTCAGACAAGACAGAGGGGAGCGGTGGCCATCGTCCTCGTGCCAGGAGCTCCTTCAGTCCTGCGCATATAGACTGTACGTTACGAAGAATACACAGGAAGACTTTGTGACTTGTCACTTGCTTTTTGCTTTTTCTGCGCTTCAGTAACAAGTGTTGGCAAACGAGACTTTGTCCTGGCCCCTGCCCACCGGGGACTGACATGGGTGTCCGTCCAGTCTAAATCATCCATCTTTCTCTTGCCTGAGTGGGGAGGGCGGTGGGCCAGGCAGAGGACAGAACTGGAGGCAGTCCATCTAGGGAATGGGACCGTGTGGCCACACTTGTGGAACATTTGGACTGCTATTCTGGAGCTTTTATTTCTGGTGTGTTCATTGCACAGCTGTTTGAAATGTTTAATAAAGCTTTATAAACTTTACTTTGTGGTTTTATGTGGCTGCAGTCCATTTGGGTCGTGGTGTTGGATTTCTAAGTTGGTGGGGGACAGAGGGTAGCATGGAGGGGCTGGGTCCTTGGCGCCAGAGTACCTTAGCCCGAAAATTTGATCTGCTCTCTGGAGAGCAGATGGTGGGGTTGGGGGAGGGGGGCAGGGGGCAGGCCAGGCGGTGAACAGGAGGGAGTCTGAAAGTTTTTAGAGATGAGACATTTGTGTTTCTCAGCTCCCATGGCTTCTCGCCTGAAACTGTTTCCCTCCATAGGAGATTTGAGTAACCGATCCCTTGACAAACAACTTAGGACAGCTGGAGCTCTAATCATCAAGGATTTTTATGGTGCTGCTTTTGAAGTAAAAATAAAGTGAAACCCCTCATGGCATTTCAAGTGGAAAAATAAATAAGGCTGGCCTCCAACCAGGGGGCTCAAGGTGATGGCTGGAAGTGCGAGAGTGTTGCGGGTCCCTGTCGACGGGCACATGCTCCTGTGACTGTGACCTTTGAGACAGAACAAGTAGCTTGTCGGGGACCTGTGCCGGGTGTCCACCTCTCAAAGTCTTTTCCTTCTAGAAAACATTACTGGAGCACTGCCTGTCCAAAGCACAGTGCTGTTGAAATAATAGTTGTGAAAGGGCTTTGGTGATTTCATAGAAGGTCACATGTTTTAGCTAGACTTTTAATTTATTGCTGTAAAGTTTTGTGTAGTTTTCTCCTGCCCTTTTAAATTTCCCCACTGTCAGTTTGTCCCCTTTCTCATTCCTAGCGATGCATATCAGTGCTTCCTCTATTCTTGACCAAAACTGGCCAAAGCTTTGGCCTTTTTAAAGGTATTTTCAAAGAACTGAACTCTGATTGATTATATCTGCTGCGTATTTTCTATCTGATCCTTTTGTGCTTTTATCTCTGAATTCTTCTCTTTTGAGTTTCTGGATATATTTCATGGTTCAGCCAAGTCTTGACAAGGTGAAGAGTCCTACATGTGCAAAGGATGGTTTGCTCAGCAAACAGACCCCCTGTACTAGGCTTGCTGGGGATTTCAGGGGCGAGACCCAGGCCTGACACTCCAGGAGCACGGGATTCCAGCCTAGTGAGGAGGACATAAGAAAATAGACAATTGCAAATTCCAAAAACAAAACAAAACAAGCAAACAAAAAAGGCATTTGTGGCCCCACTCTCCTGTGGAGGCACCTGGATGATAAATGAAGCCAAGATTATTGTTTATTTTGCTCTCCCTCAGAAAACAGCTTTCTGTCGTAGGTCAAGCCTGTCTAAGAGTTACAAACAGGCCTCCCTCTGAAAGATTTGTGGCCCTTTCCAGCAGGGAGCCCGCAGCCCACTGCTCCCTCCCAAGGTGACTGCCAAAATCAGCACTCTGTCTGCCCAGCAGTGCTGCCTTCCACCTTGGCGAGGCAGCACTCTGCCTCCTCTTCCTGAAACACCTTTCAGGAAGGTGAAAAGTGGTTACCTCTTCTGGAAAAGAGCAGGGGCACCGGGCCTTAGAAAACCGTGCTCTGCAGTCCCTCTGTTGCAATGGCTTCTAGTGTGAACTGGTTGCTCACATACGTGGTAACCATGAGACCCTGTGAGGCATTGGTCTGGGCTTCTTTCAGAACTGGTCTGCACCCTGCTCTGGGGGTCAGTTTCCTTATAGATAAAATGCAGTCTTTGGAGCAAACTGCAACCCGGCCCTAAATACTGAGGATCCTTTTTCCTAGGATCTTAGGGTCCTCCTGGATGCACTTGAGGAAGGTGACCGAGCTCTGAGAAGGTGACAGTGTCCTTGTGGGAAAGCCTGCATATGCTTTATGCTTTAGTCAGTGTACCATATAAGCCCAGATATGCCTCTGTCAGGAAGCCTTCCTGGACTTCTTCCCTCCTCCTGGAGATCACTTGCCTAGAGCACTTTACTCAGCCCTCTGTGAGTGCTAGGACTAGTGCTGGTGCTTGGCAGATCCTCTTAGTAGTGACTGGGTTCCTCCCACCCCTCAAGGGGGCCTGCATTGTTATCCAGTCAGTGGGTACTTTCAGAATCCTTGTAGGACTAGGCCTGGGGGCCACACAGTGGACAAGGTGGAAACTCCCTGCCATCTGGGAGTCATCCAGGCTAATGGGAAAGAGCATGACATTGGGCAGATCATCCCACCAATATGTAGAAAACTATGGGTTGTGGCAGATGCTGTAACGGGAGACAAACGGATCTGATGCAGACCAGGGAGGCTTGATGGTCAGGCTGGGACCGGAGAACAAATATAAATGTTTGAGCAGTGAAATAATAAATGAGATGTTATTTCTCAGCATTTCATCAAGCATCTCTGTTCTTACAGATAAAGAAATGGGGCTGAAAGTAAAAGGAAGGGTCACCAGTATCTGGCTGTCCTAGAATCAGCCCCAGAGGCTTTTGGGTCGAGAGGTGAGGCTGTTCAAAGCTTAGAGGACTGTACTGGAAAGGTTCTGAGGGGTCTAAGGCTGACATGCTGGTGACAGACCCCAAAACTCAGTCCTGAGAACTCTTCAGTCTCCAGCTGACTAGAACCATCACAGACAGGGATCTGACAGGAAATAGGGGGTAACCCCGTCAGAACAGCATTTTCAAAGTGAGGATTCTTTCAGCCGGGAACAGGACAGCCTTGGAGCGGCGAGAGCTGCAGGGCTGTTGAGAAGGCCATTGCTCTGGCCAGCTGTTGGGACCGGGCAGAAGTGGATCTAAGGAGTGATGGTGGGTGGAGAGGTGAAGGCAGGAGGAAGCCGGGGAGGGAGGAGACCAGAGAAGGGCTGTCCCCAGTGTCCAGTCTCCCAGCATCCAGCACAAAGCTCACCCCCTCATGCCCTACCCACCCCATAATGGGTGAAAGGGTCACCACTCTGAAAAAAGGGAAGAACTTAGGGGTGCTCTCCTCAGCAAGTGGTGGAAGATGGTCCTGACTCAGACGGGCTTGTCCAGCCCCAGCCCAGCACCCTGCCTCCCTGGTGTCTTCCCATACTCCGGAAGGGGGAGAGCTGGTCTGACAGGCTTCAGAGAGAGAAGTCAGTATCTTGAAAAAAACTGATTACGAAGTGTGCTTACTCGGGGAAGGGAGGAACCTGGCCAAGCAACAGCTGAAGGCTACATACAGAAGCACTTGGTCTCTCTTTGGGGTATTGGGATTAACAGTGGGTGGGAGCTTGGAGCAAACCTTGAGAGATGAGGCTTCAGGGAACCCCAGGCCCTATGCCCCTGCCTTTGTGACCACACCTTCCTGACCCTCAGTTTCCTCACCTGTGAAACGGAGGTCATAACATCTACCATAGCCTGGCTCAAAACATAGTCTTCCACAAATGTTATTTGCTCTCTTCTGTGCCCCTCCCCCCACCACCAATTATTATTGGGCTGAGGCCTCTTAGGGAAGTGATCTGATCACCCAACTCTCCAGCTCATTCGTTCATGTAGGGAGCACTTGCCAGGCCCCCCATGCCAAGCTCAGAGAAGCTGATGCAGAACAAGGCTCTGCCCTCCTTGAAGAGCTCGGCTCGGCAAGGAGGAGGCACCGAGACAGTCAGAGAGGCAGATAATCGCAGTGCCGTTATCTGGCCTCTCACCTCTTTTCTGGGGCAGCTTGTGGAGAGCCTGCACTTCGCTGGCTCACCACTTCTTTCAAAGCTAAACCCTCAGCCAATTCCCTGACCCACACTGGTGACTGCAGCCCTCTAGGGGGCCTGATCCCCACCTACCTCCATTTCCCACATGACTTTGGTCTCCAGTGCTCACTCTTCTCCAGGCCTCTGTTTCCCCATGTGTATGCCAAGGAAGGGGCAGACTGGAAGTCTTTAACATCTCCAGAGCTGCCATCTGTGAAACATTAGTGAACTTTACCCTTGTTATTTCAGTACCCTGGTTACTTCTTAGAGATACTGGGTAAAAGAAAGTGTGTTACAACAAGCAAGTTGTTTAATGAAAGGATTTCTTGCGTTAAAGAATAAACTCCAAATCTTTTTGGGTGCAGAATTTGAGAGTCAAGGCACACTTGGGAAGGTCTCTGGGGGAGGAAGACAGACGAAGCCCATCAGTGGCTCCCTGTTGCCTGTGCTCCCAGCTCCTTAGCCTGGCCTTCAAAGCCACATACAACCCTTGAGGGTGGGGGCTTGGTCTTTGTCCTGTGACCAGGCACAGGCCTGACCAGGCCTGGCAGAGAACCTGCTGATTGGCTGGCAGGGGGGATGGATGGAGCAATGGCTCTAATCAATTTCTAGCCTTCTAAGGACTTAGGTGACCCAGTCCTTCCTACATGTAAGAGAATTCAGTTTGCCTCCCAGCCTCTATTCAGCAACTCTGAAGTGACAATATTTTCCACCCTCCAGACTAATATTTCACACATAGATATCACAGAGACCACCATTTCTCAGATATGTGGGAAGAACCTTGTAGAAGGCTCCTGCCTCTGGCAACAGGTGTCTGAGTCTCCTCCCTTCACTGGGCCTCAATTTCCCATTTGTAAAATGAGACATGTGGACTAGATAATTGAGAGTTCCTTTCCAGCTCTAGCATCACCCTCAGATGCCCTAGTGGCTAGGGAGGTCATTGTACAGGGAGCATGGTATCTCCAGGATCTGGGTCAAGTCCACATCTTGGAGCACAGAGGAATCATCAAGAGTGATGGCCATGGTCCCCCTAGAAGAAGAACTTGGCAGAGCTGGCTGGGAGATTTTTCTGCTGCTGGTGAAATGTGCTGGCAGAGTCTCTGCAGGTAGGTTGATGCAGGTGAGGGGTGGGGTTGGGCTCTCCCTTCTCACGTGATCCCTGAGTAATGGTTCTTTTCAGAATTGGAAGCCTCAAGGACTCGTGGGTGCCAATTAGATTCTGCCATTCATATTGGCAAAGCGGGTTGTGAGCCATCTTTTCACACACTGTCCTGGCAGGTCTTCCAGAAATGTTTTCTGCTCCCATTCCTTGAATTCCTCTCTGTATTTCACTCTCTATGCCTGGAATCGTGCTTTCCCATAGCCTTCCATT